TACACAAAATAATGTTCTTTTTAGCAACATCATATGACCCCTTTAAAAAAAAATCTTAATATTGTACTGAAAATGTAACTGTAATATAACCTTGGCTTTTTCCTCAATATTCTAGTATATTAAATATTATATAAATATAATAAATATAATAATATTATAATATTTAAAGGCCCAAAAATGCTTTAAATGTTATGTTGTTATTATTATTATTATTATTATTATTATTAATGTATAATTAATAATAATATCTAAATATAAAATATTTCAAGTAAAATTATTATTATTATTAATATTATTATTATAATTATTATTATTCGCATGCTTATTGGTCACATTGATTTAAATTAATTGCATTTTTTTTTACTTTAAATGAATATGTTTTATATTTTTTTTATTCATTTCTTTTTTGCTCCGCTCACATAGCTCACATGCAGTCTCTGTACCTGTATGTAGATGCTGTTCCTTCTGCTGCCCTTTTCACATCTTTTCTTTTAGGAGGCGGTGGGATCAAAATCAACGTGACCAATGAACATTCTCAGTCCACGCTCAACCTGCTGTCCAACAGAAAGGACCAGTCCATGTACGAGCAGCTCCGAGACATTTCCATCGACAACATCTGCAGGTCTGCCTCAACTTTGTTATTTTCTGAAGTTCACTTATAATTAAATCCATCTCTGCATCTGCTCTGAGTTTGAGTCATTTATAAGGTGCATATGGTACACAGCATGTGCCAACCATCTGCACAAACTCCTAAAGAGAAACGCTTCTCAACAGCTTTAAGGCTGTCTGCAGTTTTCCTGTCAAAATAACAATGTTAATAATTTAACTTTTGAAAATGAAGAAATTAAGACATAAATATGAGTATTGTCATTTGACAGTCATAATGTAAAATAAAATCTTTTTTCTTAAGTACTCTAATATAATACAATTTTAAACAATATAAAATAATATTATTTTTTTTCATTTAAAGGCGAATCGGTCAAAAAAAATTAAAAAATCCTAGCTTTTCTCCGTGCCACAAATGAGTGTGAAAGGGGTTTAATTGGTGAAACATTACAAGAATATTTCATATTTTGTTTTTATTTAGTAATTTAATACTTTTATTTAGTAGTAATGATAATAATAATAATATTATTTCCTTAAATTCTCTAACTTAATATATTTAATATAATTTTTAAATAATAAATAATATATTTTTTATTTAACGGTGAAATATTACAAGAGTAATATTTCTTTTTATTATTTAGTAATTTTTATATTTTATTTAGTAGTAATGATAATAATAATATTTCCTTAAATTCTCTAATTTAATATAATTTAATTTGTAATAATAAATAATATAATAAATAAGTAATTTTTTATTTAACGGTGAAATATTACATGAGTAATATTTCTTTTTTATTATTTAGTAACTTTTCTATTTTTTTATTTAGTAGTAGTTGAAGTAATAGTCATTATTATTATTATTATTATTATTATTATTATTATTATTATTATTATTATTATTATTATTATTATTATTATTATTATTATTATTATTATTATTATTATTATTATTATTATTATTATTATTATTATTTTTGATTTCTCAACGAAATAATAAAATGCAACTTATACGCAACTTAGGCTGTTTTTTTCTCTAAAAAAGGCAATTTTTGTTACACTTAGCGTATTTTAACCATGCAGCAAACCTTTTAAAATATTTTGATTTCTCAACGAAATAATAAAATGCAACTTGGGCTGTTCTTAAAAAAAACAAACTTTTTTTTGTTAAAAATTGTTGTTTAAAATATTTTGATAAATTGCTGAAAATTTTTTTTTAAATGACTTTTAAACCGTTTAACTGATTGTATTAATCGGTCAAAATTCTTACGGTCAGTTAACGGTTAACCGGTTAAAATGAGCATCCCTACAACTTTCAGAATCAGAAATCAGGCTGGATTCATAACCATTGAAATGTAAAAGCATGACTGTCGTCTGCAGATGTCTGAAAGCTGGCCTCACTATGGATCCTGTAATAGTGGAGGCGTTCTTAGCCAGCCTGTCAAACCGGCTCTACATCTCCCAGGAAAATGACAAGTGAGGAAACAAACACGCTGTCTCTCTCTCTCTCTCTCTGAGTGATGTGATGTGATGTGGTTTTATTGACTCGGGCGGGTGTGTTTCTCTTCAGGGAGGCTCATCTCATCCCGGATCACACCATCCGTGCGCTCGGACACATCGCTGTGGCCATGAGAGACTGTCCTAAAGTCATGGAGCCCATCCTGCAGATCCTGCAGCAGAAGTTCTGCCAGCCGCCCTCGCAGCTAGACGTGCTGATCATAGACCAGCTGGGCTGCATGGTCATTACGGGGAACGTGAGGATCTCATTTACACACATAATTACAGCTGCTTGCTGCGTGAAGCTGCAGCGTTTATTTCCAGTCGATTCTTTCTTCGCTTTTTGCATCACAGCTCATGTCTGAGGATTTACGTTGGTGTGCATTTTCAAGCATGATTACCGTTATTGACTGTACGGGAAAGAAACTTTTAGTAAACATAACAATTGTGACTGCTTTTGTGCTCCAGGCTCACAATTAATTAAACAATGATCAAAGATACACAGCTGTGATGCAAACCGACCAGTGAGAATCTAAATTTTTAAGTTACTAGACATTCAGAACTATTACTAGCCACAAAACAGAAATATCAGAAGTGAACAGATTATCAAAATCACAGCTTAGATTTAAATGTATTTGTTTTTAAATCTGATTCTGGATCATTGAATGAGTGGCAAATGGAATAGAAATTATGTGAAGTGAATCCGGTTATAAATGAAAGATCTAGTCATTATTTTGATTTTGAAAATGACCAGACTGTATGCGGGTCAAAGACGAGACGTCTCATTTTGGTATCTGCATCAAATTAAACTTACAAAAGTGATTTTAAATCCCATAGAAAGCATATTAAGTGCTTACTAAGTAAAGTGTCTACTTTAATGTTTCAAATAAACTTTGTGAAAATAAAATGTCAAAATATGGATGTAATAATGTTACATTGTCATTCAGCGTAACCTATTCTGATCTGTACTTATTAAAAAAGTGATCATGCATTATTATATTTTAAGTGATTAAAAACTACTTGCTGACAAATAGGTAAAACCTAGTGGTTTGAAGCATAGTGGTAAAGATTTAAAATGACCGTTAATTTGTTTTTTGATGGCTGCACTGAGAGTCTTAAATAGTCTTTTAATGTCATCGAATGATTCTTGACAAGATTTTTTGGTATGTAAACTATTGTTCACTGAATGACATTTTAGTAGTTTTCTTCTGTAAATCATGGTAAGTCATCTATACGTCACTTTTTTTGCTCACGAAAAATAAAATTAAACTTTTATTGTTTTGATGCATGAAAATCTTTTGTATTTGACCCATATACAAGGTAGGATTGGTTACATGTATATTTGTCCCATGTATATTTATTAAAATGAAAAGAATTGCCTTTATGTGATTTTATATATATATATATATATATATATATATCTCTTGGCTGTAAAACACATTTTATTAAAGTATCCTGCTTTAAATGATATTAGGAAACATCAAAACTCAAAGTACATAAATGGACATTTTTTTTAGAGAAACTATTAGAATTTTTATCAAATTGAAAAATTGTGTATAATTGTTATTTTCTATTTATCTGTTTGTGTTTTGTCTTTTTGTAAAAAGATATATATATATATATATATATATATATATATATTTTATACAATTGATTGAATTATTAT